ATAGAAGGCGGATGGTTGGAAGATGTGTGTATGTAGAGTGGTTTATCGTTAGGTTTTCTGTATGGTTTATATGTGCCTTCTCTTAGGTTGAAGGTCACATCTAGGAAATCTACTTCGTTTAGGTTAGTTTTTTATATCTATGTCGAATCCGTTATTTTTAAAAATCTTTATTATTGCTTTTCTAGTTTTGTCTGTGTTTTGTTTGTTACAGTTTCTTAAGATTATGAGGCCGTCGTCCCTGTAGAGTCCTGTGTCATTTTTTTTATCTATTATTTTGCTCAGTTCGTGTAGTAAGTAAATGCCTATGATTTCGCATGCCTCTGCACCGTCAAAGCTTCCCATTGTAGTGTCAAATATCCCATCTTTCTTTATCCATGCTTCTTCATTGTGGAATAATAATGATTTACGGGAGTGCTTAATGATGTTGATTTCGCTTGGTTTTATTATTATTTGTTCCTGAGCTAAGTTGATGGCCTTATCTAGCATACGTTCTGTTATAGATGGGTAAAATTCTTTTTTATGTCTAATTGTAGGAATTGGCAATTTTGTTTGTTATTTATGTTGTGGAACCAGTCAATAGTTGTTTTCGTATTTTTCCACTGGTTTACTCCTAATTTCTTCCTAAGTTCAGAATTAATTCTTTCTAGTATTGTTTTACTTATTTTACCTAGTTCGCTTTTGGCTGGGTTTATGAGTCTGCATGCAGGATTAGTTTTGAAATTTTCTTTATGGTCTTTTAGTGTGATAAAGGCTCGTGCCTTGCTAATACAATTTATTCGGTCATCTAGGTCTAATTTTTGGGCGATTGTTTTAGCTTCCATATTGATATCGTGTTCTGTTGTTTGGGGTGCCTTTTTGTATTTTGTATGTTTTGGTTATGTTGTTCTTGAGTAATTTATTGTGTGTAGGAGGGCTTAGTTTGTATAAATTTCTCGTTTTGTCAGCAGCGATAAATACACTTGCTGAATTGTTTATTTTAGTTATATCTGCTTTTTTTTTTTTTTGGAATGCATCTTGTTTTTTTATGGAATTTTATGTTTCTAACTAGGTCAGTTAAGTCTTTCTCGAAATCGTCTAAAATTTTTTTTTGTTGTGGGGGGCATTTTTTTTGTTTTGAAGCCGTATTTTTCCTTCTTAAAGTGTTGTTATTGTGAAGGTCCTGATTTAAAAAGTGGACTTTCCATCTCATTCTTTTTAGGAAACTTTCTTTTTTTCAATTAATTTTAGTTTATATATAGTAGGGGATGGGATGGGTATGTTTTTTTAGGGAGTAGTCGAGGTTAAATTTTTCCATGTCCATACTGTGTTATAAATGTAGCGAGAGTGCTCTACTGTTTACCAGGAGCTGAATATAAAATTAGGATAAAAAAGGTGTGCAAATATTTATGGGATAAAGGCATGAATCAAAAAGAAGAAATGTAAAAAAAAAAAAAATATAAACGTAGACAAAAATGAAAAACGGAAAAAATTTATAAAAAAAAAAAAAAAAATTAATAAAAAAAATAAAAAAAAAAAATAAATAAATAAATAAAAAAATAAATATATTAAAAACCGAAAACCAAAAAAAATAAAAAATAAAAAACCTAAATTTCATCCAAGTAAATAAATAGGCAAACCAATCCCAAATTTTTTAGTTAGAATTAAAACAACCAACCCCAAAATTGAACAAATATTTAAATATTTAATTAAATTCTCAAACCAAAACAAAACTGTTAAATATGATATAAACAAATTTTTACTACGTTAATAAATAAATAAAAAAAATAAAATAAAAAAAAAAAAAAAAAAAAAATAAATAAAAAAAAATAAAAAAAAAAAAACGAATAAAATTTGACCCAAATAAATGAACAAAGCGACTTTCCGGTAAAAAAATAACCGCCATAATAGAATACCCACAATGCACCACTAACCAATATATATATATATATAAATAGCCGAGAAAAATAACAATTTTACGTGGCCTGACGATTGCATATAGCATGAAACAGACTGTCGCCTCTAAGTGTTGACTTTATGTTCACTTTTATATTTACACACGCTCTATCTCTGATATTGAGCACTTTATCCCATAAATATAGCACACCTTAAGACTATATTTTTTTTTTATATTCAGCTCCTGGTTATACATTTATAACATTATGGACATGGAAAAAATTTAACTCGACTACTTTTAAAAAAAACATACCCATCCCATCCCCTACTATATATAAACTAAAATTAATTGAAAAAATAGAATTTTTTCCTAAAAAAGAATGAGATGGAAAGTCCACTTTTAAATCAGGACCTTCACAATAATAACACTTACTTAAAGGGAAAAATACGGCTTCAAAACAAAAAAATGCCCCCCAAACAAAAAAGAATTAGACGATTTCGAGAAAGACTTAACTGACCTAGTTAGAAACATAAAATTCCATAAAAAAACAAGATGCATTCAAAAAAAAACTAAAAGCAGATATAACTAAAATAAACAATTCAGCAAGTGTATTTATCGCTGCTGACAAAACGAGAAATTTATACAAACTAAGCCCTCCTACACACAATAAATTACTCAAGAACAACATAACCAAAACATACAAAAAGGCACCCCAAACAACAGAACACGATATCAATAAGGAAGCTAAAACAATCGCCCAAAAAAAAAATTAGACCTAGATGACCGAATAAATTGTATTAGCAAGGCACGAGCCTTTATCACACTAAAAGACCATAAAGAAAATTTCAAAACTAATCCTGCATGCAGACTCATAAACCCAGCCAAAAAGCGAACTAGGTAAAATAAGTAAAACAATACTAGAAAGAATTAATTCTGAACTTAGGAAGAAATTAGGAGTAAACCAGTGGAAAAATACGAAAAACAACTATTGACTGGTTCCACAACATAAATAACAAACAAAATTGCCAATTCCTACAATTAGACATAAAAGAATTTTACCCATCTATAACAGAACGTATGCTAGATAAGGCCATCGACTTAGCTCAGGAACAAATAATAATAAAACCAAGCGAAATCAACATCATTAAGCACTCCCGTAAATCATTATTATTCCACAATGAAGAAGCATGGATAAAGAAAGATGGGATATTTGACACTACAATGGGAAGCTTTGACGGTGCAGAGGCATGCGAAATCATAGGCATTTACTTACTACACGAACTGAGCAAAATAATAGATAAAAAATGACACAGGACTCTACAGGGACGACGGCCTCATAATCTTAAGAAACTGTAACAAACAAAACACAGACAAAACTAGAAAAGCAATAATAAAGATTTTTAAAAATAACGGATTCGACATAGATATAAAAACTAACCTAAACGAAGTAGATTTCCTAGATGTGACCTTCAACCTAAGAGAGAAAGGCACATATAAACCATACAGAAAAACCTAACGATAAACCACTCTACATACACACATCTTCCAACCATCCGCCTTCTATAATCAAACAGATACCAAAATCGATTAACCGC